AAAATTGGTAAAACTTATTACGATTTGGCATGTTTTCGTTTTTACCTTGGCAGAGTGCTAATGGCAGTCCTGTCTTTTCCAATTAGAAATACTTGAACTTCGCCGTAACCACCAAAAAGTGGAACAGCAACTTGTAAGTCCTTTAAAGTCACATGATAAACTAAGAAATCGACTGGGGAAAAAAAAGAAACGAGTTAAACAAGATAAACCGGTTTAAGGTGAAACTAACCTATATTCCATCATTGACTCACCTCCACAAAAAGGCTCGTGTTTCTTAGTAACCAAGTAGTACTTCCTTGGTATGTCACCGCGGTAATACTGGTCAGCGTCATATCCCATCACGGCACATGCGCCTTGACATTTATAACATCTGAGTTTTGAAAATTCCTGCCAACTTCTACATCTATATGCTTTACGAGGACATTTGTTGTTTATCGAGTCTGTAAAAAAGTTAATGACTTTCATGTGGTCACAAGCAAATTGCCAATGGATTGGGAACTTTGATTTCTTTTTGAAGCCAAGTACTCCAAGAACGTTTGATAGCAGTCTATCGGGACGAAAATCTGGAAAGAAACAAAATGAACAATATAACAATGTCATAAGCTCGTTAAGGCCCGTTTACACTTGCAATTTTTGCAGGGCGATTCTCGAGCTTATTGTTGCGCGACCATCGCCTGAGTTTCGAAAATGCTTGAAAATTGGCTGCAACTTCGCGACGATTTCCCATCGCCTCGACAATCGTAGGGCTATTTACACGTACGATTTTAGTTGCGCGATAGCAAAGTGGCGATTATCGCGCTGCAAAAATGCAACTGTAAACGGGCCTTACGAGGGTAATTAATGGTCATCACCCCATGGATGTTTGTCTTGGAGGATCTTTTGAAAATCTTGTCTATATGATCTCTGTCTTCGGATTCAACTCTAATCAATCATTCTAAATTTATATTTTACTTTATTATTGAGAGCGTCTGCGAAAATTGCGGGTCCCTTTTGTATTATTTTATTACATTTCCTGTGTGGCCTGACCCAAGGAATTGTGGTTTGGGTTGTTTATGGCATGGGACAAGCGCTCTAGCGCCTACTTTGGAGCCAAGCGTGTTTGAGCGGTTTGAAGTGTACGTAAGGACCGAGATCCAATACATCGAGCTTCAAGTAAGAATTACTGAATAAGGAAAAGAGTTTAGAATGATAAAGTCGAAGTGCACAAAACATAATTTCAGTTAATCTTAGTTAATACTCTCGACTCTAGCAAGTGGTTTAATGTTTCTTTGCAAGAATCAATTATTTGTGCTGACTACCTGTAAAGTGTCCCGAAGTCACACAGCCAGGCTGGTTATCGCCACCGTTTGGATAGAAGTCCACGTGACCACATGGCCGAGCTAGTCCCAGACCTCCTACTCCTGTATCTGTGTGTATCACGTCGACAAACTTGGCATCACTTGGGTCCAGTCTACTTCTTGTGTCATTGTGATCAAAACTTGGTCTGGCTGGATCCAATCCTTTCGTTTTC